AAAACTATTATTCATGTGAAATCCAACGAAACGCATTTAGTTGCCATGAAAGTAGCATTCGAGAGCAGCGTCCAAAATCTGCTCGAGAAGAACGTGTTTTGCAATAGCGCATGCACTTATGAGTGTAGTCCGCAATGCGTCCTCGCTGCTTTTGTTCTTTGTTTTCACTGTGAATTCCTTCAAAAAAGAAAAAGCTCAGTAGTCTGCGCTCATGACTCTTCGCATATCTTCACATTGTCCTTTAAGTTGCTGAGACCATCCTAAGCTGGGTGAATGTTTCACCAAGTCCGAAGGATGCGACAGTTTTATTTCGTTTCAAGAACTATCTCTCTCTTTCAAATTATTTCCGTTTCACTGGTCATTTGGTGCCAGTAACCCACTTTTATACATTTCTGTACAACCAATGTATATGTGCACCACGCTCTTATGTATACGCGTTTGCTCCGTCTACTCAGCTAATATAAAAGCAGCAACGAAAATTAGCGAGCTGAAATTTCAAAAACAATTTTGAGTCGGCCGAGCAGAACTGAAACAAATTTCGACGTCTGCAGTTTGTTGTTGGACACCATATCGAAATCCCAGTCTTTTTACTTCAGATCCAAAAACAAGCTAATCTTGAGAGCTCAGCTATTTTTTGGATAGTTCAACTTTTTTCGAAATTTTACAACTAATTTCGTAAAAAATTTTTCTTTCCGCTAGTTTTACTTGCATTTTCTTCACTCATTTCGACGAGAAACTGATACTGGCACATGCCAAGCAGCTGACAGATTGCTCCAAGAATCATCTGGAAGAGGGTTTGTTCAGTAACCTTTCCAGAGTCCGTTCAGATAGGCTCCAAGTGCCTCTGCCTCCTCGGGAAAGTGAAGTAATTTCATGTATGTGCTACGTCACCATACGGTAATTACCATATTTGCAAAGGTGTGCTGCTTACAGGGTCATTTATTTTACATTACGCAACGCAGCCAATGGTGACATTATTGGAGAAGCCGATGTTCCCTATTCACATTTGATTGCCGATTGTAAAACCAATTTAAAGGTTGCCCTGTCAAATATTTTCAAATAATCCTAAAGATCTAGTGGAACATTCATAATGCTGATTATTAGTTCTGTTTGCGAAATATCTTTCTTCATCATTATGCGTGATACACTGTGTCAGACGTTCAGTTACTTATTTTAGTAGCTGATAGCTATTATTTTCCCTTAAATAATCGGTGCTCCCGACAACGTTTTCATTTTACGCTTAATCGAAAACTGATTTTAAATTTTCGAATAGCATATAGACAAGAAACGCTTTACAACTTCAGTTTTTAGCTAATTTTTCTGATTTTCAGACTTAAAAATTTTCTGTGTGTAATTTCACTTGTTTTTGCTTGACTGTAGGCTACTTAAAAGCTGATGGGGTCATGCCGAGGCAGGAAGTATCCTCAGCCTTCTGCCTTTTTAGCAACCGGTGTTACAAAGTTTCACGTCAGAGCTTTCACGACATGTGGAATTATACATGCTTGAAACTGATTCTAAATTTGCAGTGTTGCAAATGAACAGGAAACATCGAAACTAAAAAAAATCTGAGACAGGAAACTAAAATTTTAGTCTTTTGATTTGTCTGACCCCGATTGTAGAGAACTCAGTTTGAAATGGGAAATTTCTGGACTAGACTCTATTGATCCCTCTTGGCTTCTCTCTTATTTGTAGGGTGATTTCAGCGCTAATCCAGTAATCTAATGTTTTTTTTTCTTATTCTCCAGGCTACTGCATAGGCATGACACTGCAATTTGCTGGGCATCGCGGAAAATTTAAAATTTGGTTGTTTGGATGAAAAAAAATGCAAAGAATCTTGTCATTCACAACAGTAGTGGAGTGTTTACTACGCTCTGGAGATTTAGAGATTTAAGCATGGACGGAAGAGCCAAGACAAGTTGCCTGAAGCTTGGCAAGCACTATGAGTGAAGCAACGGAAAAGCATTACATCTTAATGGGCATAGCCCTATTTCGTTTTTATGCCCACTCTGCGCCACTCTGCTTCTTCCGCTCTTGGTTGCTTCGTCGACATTACTTTTTGCTTCGATTTTTTCCAGAAGTTAGCTTAAAATTGGTTTTTCAGTACCAACGTTTTTGATTTTCACACATCTAACAGCATTTTTAATTAATCTTATTGTACATAATTGAAGCTGCGATCTCGGGACGTAAATGGTAATACGCTGTTTGGTGTATCGAGGCGCTCGTTGCATCCAGTCGGTGTACTACATATTAATTCCTACGTGGACAACAGCATCATGAGCTGTTCGTCTCGTGGAAGCAGTGCCTCGTCACAAAGCTGCACTGAAGAGAAATGTCGGCATTCGACCAAAAATAGCGATGATGATGAGCTGACGGGTGGTTTTGTCCCGGCCAGCAATGTTATGATGGCAAGCGGGTAAGTCCATATCATGCTTTCATTTAGTGCACATTTTTTTCGAGTTGTGTAACGGTAGTTAAATGTAGAACGATGAACACATGCGTGTCATTCTATACATAAAATTAACTGCGTCCCAATCAGTAATGAAGATTGTAGCAATGGTACCTACAAAATGTAAGAA